CTTCAGGCCAAACAACATTATATCTGTGTTTCTAGTATTACTCAGCTTAGATAGACAGTACGCTTCAGGCCAAACAACATTATATCTGTGTTTCTAGTATTACTCAGATAGTATAGTGGAATATATATATATATACTGAGTAAGAGTGGTCCAGTGGAATATATATATATATATATATATACTGAGTTTATACACACACATATATGATGATTGCCAGTGCTGAGTAGTCAGATTGATATTGATTTCCACGTAATGTTATTATATTAAACAAGAATTGGACCACAATCACTGCTGGCATTAAATATATAAATACATCGTAGATATTTCTGGCTGAATACATCACTTTCGTCGTCATAAATAATATGTATTTATTTTTTCGGGGTTGTTTTTGCGTAGAGTCCAATATTTACAGACAGTTTTCCCTTAAGGAATTTAATTTAGATATTTTTCAACCAGCAAAAATATAATTGCATAATTTTTTTTCCAAAGGTTTTCAAATTATTTTGTTAATGTAAGACCATCCCAATTATCAAGTATGTTTTTATCTTTTCCTGGTTTCTGAGCTAATTAAATCTGGTAGTTGGAATGAGAGAAAATAGAATGCTGCAGAGTGTAGAAATATGGAAATTTCACCGTTGGGATTTTCAAATTTGGCAAAATTATAATCTTGATTGTTTCTTGATTGTTTTTCTTTTCTTGTCATTTGTTGGTAGGTTACCACAGATGGGGGACTCCACACCAACCCACTCGGGTACTGCCAATGCCTCGGAGTACGACTACCTCATCAAATTCTTGGCCCTAGGTAAGTCGTACTGGTTTGGAAAGTTCCTCGTTCATAATGACAAACTGCAGTATACATATGTCATGGTGTACTGAAATAAATCATACCTGGTCATATTAATGCGCAAGAATAAAAAAAAATAACATTAAAATGAAATAATTTGGCTACCTTATTATAACCTACCCTATTTTTTTCAGGCATATTGTTACCTGAAACAAACATATTTTTTTTTAAAATTATTAACTAGTTCACCCCTGAAAACATATTTGATCTCTTCCAGTTCAAAGGTTGGAATAGTTCATTATGACATTTCGGGGGTGAATGAGTAAAGGGTTCTTGGTGGGACTTCCTGTAATAACGGTGACAGTTATACATTGTAATTAATGGATGGTGACAGAAAAATAAGGCAAGTGATTCTCATCCCGTGGTGTTTTTTCATTAAGACTGACAACATTACAGGAGAGGTAATGGTTCGATAAAAGGCTCAGCAGTCACTTGACCGCTGACCACACAACAGCGGTCAGCGGTCATCATAAAATAGGATGTCGGTCACTCTCTATTGGGGAAGAAGTAACGTCTACAGCGTGTAACCAGTGTCGTTATTTTCCAACTCAAGGAAGACGGAGACACGGAGATAAATGGTTATAATAAACTATTGTCATTTCCAACTCAAGGCAGACACCAGAAAAATGTACTTTACCATTATTTCCCAGTCAAGGCAGACACCAGAAAAATGTACTTTACCATTATTTCCCAGTAAAGGCGGGGACACCAAAAAAATGTACTTAACCAATATTTCCCAACTCAAGATGGAGACACTGAAATGTACATTAATTGTTATTTTCCCCCAAACTCCAGCTGTGAGGTACAAATTCCCAAATTGCACGGAACAACAGAATGTACTCTCTGTATTCATCAATTGCTAATTAATGCAAGGCCTGCATCACTATAAAGGATAATTGAAAAAATGGAATACTAGTCATAGATACAACAGAAAAATAAAATTAATAATAGATTTTTTTTTTTTATATATAATTGTTAGAAAAAATTGCAAAAAAATCCAGTTGAAAAGGGGGTTTAATCTTTCAGAAGTAATCTTCATACAGAAGAAAATACCTTAATATTTCTGTAACTTACAAGTAATTTCCAGGTTGGTGTTTTTCTAGACAAAAAAAATAAATATGCTGGAGCCCTGGAAGATATTTGAAATTATTGATGGTTAATCTTCACTTATAATTGCATGTTTTAAAGCTCTGGTTCTTACTTTAACCATTTCACCCCTATGTAACTTTAGTAGACTCTACCATGCATTGATCTGGATGAGTCCATTATGGTCTACAGTGGTGAAAAGGTTAAGGCTCTGCATTAGCTAGTGATAATACTTCTATCTTTAGATGTTACATTGTATAATGAAAATAGGTCAAGGTTGCTTAAGTCCTTGTACATAATTGAGCATCTATAAAACAGGAAATACTCTGTCCAGCACATTGGGCCAAATATTGTTGACAATATTCTGTCAAGTACTAATTTGTAACAATTTACTGTACCATGAAAATATGATTTTCATGATATTATTATTGAAAAGATTTCGGTGATTTTTCTAATATATTTGACCATGGTCTATGGTCTGAAGTATAAGGAAATTTAACGCTGTAAATGAGGAAAATTGGAAAAATTTTGCAACAGGCAACAAACTATTTATGTAGAGACGCAGTTTCCAAAATCACAACAATATATTGTTCTGCGGTCATGAAATTTTTAGTTAATAATTCACAGAATATACTTGTTTATTTCCAGGTGATTCTGGAGTGGGGAAAACCAGCTTTCTATACCAATATACCGACCAACAGTTCAACTCTAGATTTATATCGACAGTTGGCATCGACTTTCGGGAGAAACGAGTGGTAAGTAGTGTGGAATCGCAACAATTCAGTTCATATACTGTAAAATCGTAAATTTTCGTGGGACTTTAAATTTCGTTTATTTCGTGGATAACAAAAATCCACGGATTTAAATCCCCACGAAAACATAAATTTGGTATGATATAGATAGGGGAAAATCAGAAATCAGCGAAATGTAATGTCCTTGAAACAGGCTAGTATATATATACAAACCACAAAATTTTAACCCCACGAAAATAAATGATTCAACAGTATATATTGACAATCAACATTTAATGTAACTTTTTCAGGAAACACTGGTCGGTATAAACAAGGCTGCAGGCTGTCTGAAATGAGTTCACTTCCACATATATATATACATTAGTTCTTTAATGTTACAAAAGTCAGCCAAAATTTTGTCTGCATAGTCAAAGTACTGCTTGTAAAAATTGACCTTGACTCTTGTGACTACAGGTACACCGAATCCCGGGGATTGATGGATCGATTGGCCGGAGTCAGCGTGTCCACTTACAGCTTTGGGATACAGCTGGACAGGAAAGGTTAGTGACCAGTGGTATGGAAGGATGAATGCTTCTGACCAATACCTGAAATTAGTTTCAAGTCATGAATGGTCTGTAGTCAGGGATGGTTGAGTGGTCAGTTGTGGTCAGTTTTCTGCTGACCAATCACTGAAGTTAGTTTTCACGCCATAATTGGTCTAATCAGGGATGGATGAGTGGTCAGTTGTGGTCAGTTCTCCGCTGACCAGTCACTGAAGTTAGTTTTCACACCATGAACGGTCTGAAGTCAGGGATGGATGGGTGGTCAGCTCTGGTCGGCTGTCCACTGACCAATCACTGAAGTTAGTTTTCACGCCATGAACAGTCTGTAGTCAGGGATTGGATGAGTGGTCAGCTGTAGTCAGGGATGGGTCAGTCAGGGTCAGTTGTGGTCAGTTCTCTGCTGACCAATCACTGAAGTTAGTTTTCACGCCATTAATGGTCTGTAGTCAGGGATGGGTCAGTCAGGGTCAGTTGTGGTCAGTTCTCCGCTGACCAATCACTGATTTAGTTTTCACGCCATTAATGGTCTGTAGTCAGGGATGGGTCAGTTAGGTTCAGTTGTGGTCAGTTGTCCACTGTCCAATCACTGAAGTTAGTTTTAACGCTGTTACTTCCTTGTGATCTTAACTTCTCATCGAGGTCAGGAAGCCCTGTGAAGGAAGGGTATCTATTTTGAAATAGCTGACTTTGAATTTCATTCAATGTTTGATTTTGAAAATGGACAAAAAGAATTTAAAACTCTGCTCAACTCTGAATTATTTATCAGCAATCTCCTTGGATTTCATCTGTGATGTTAGTTTTCTCAAAACAGACACCTTTTTTTTGAGATACCAAAATAAGATTCCAGTTTTGTTCAGCTATAAATTATTGAATGGCATGTCTATGAACTGCCTGCTATATACACTTTAGCTGATTGTGTTATTTTCAGAGACACATGAACTTCAACATTTTGTATTTGTTACCTTGGTAGCTGTTTACTATGAAATTTCAGATTTTGTATTAGGTTTCTGACAATCTAATTAAAATGTTATCTTCATGTCGCTCCCTTTTACTGATATGTCATGGAAGTGATCTGAGGATATTAATTTAATTAGATTGGGTTTCTGATAAAGACCATTTCTTCCTAGATTATGAAGTTTTTTATCATTTATATACATCGTTAAGATTTAGTCTCTTGTACTCCTAGACTCTGCAGATTCATTCTCATATGAGGTAGGCTAGACTGCCCCCCNCCCCCCTCGTCTCTAATAATAATAATAATTTGAGGTTCTTATATACCGCTTTATCACAACCTAGTTCGTAGGTCGTCTCAAAGCGGTTCACAAATTATTATCCGTGGTTATAGGGCCCTAGCAACCAGCCAATATCTTTATCAACTCCCTGATGCGCATACAGCCGGAGCTGCCATTTCGGTGCTAACAGCTATCATTCAACAATTCTAGCACTGCGCAACCACGTAATAATAATTTGTGAACCACTTTGAGACGACCTACAAACTAGATTGTGATAAAGCGGTATATAAGAACCTCAAATTATCATTATTATCAGGTTGTCCGTCTATCTGTCCGTTTTTTATTTCCTGTAAATCTTATGTAGGAAATGTCTGATTTTGATCAAACTAATGGCTGATGTATTATCTGTGAACCAAATTAAGTCCCTCTCTCAGGTTTGATGATCTTTGATTTCTTCACATATTTAATTAGTCTGCTGCATTCTGATTGGTTGACTGCTATCCATGTGATATATCATCTGTAGGAATCACCTAACTTTGATCAAACTTGCTTACTATAAATTTGACGTGTTTTAACTTCTTATTCTGTTACATATGTCTACCAGCATGAATTAATTAATTACAAAAATACCATAATTGAAATTTTATCGTCATTTTGAAGATTAAAACTAAAATGGAAAATAAAAAAAATATATCTCGGCAATGAATTTCTTCCGCCTTTTGTCAGATTTAGGAGCTTGACTACTGCATTCTTCCGGGACGCGATGGGCTTCCTCCTTCTGTTCGACCTGACGAGTGAGACGTCTTTCACCAACATTCGTAACTGGCTGTCTCAATTACAGACTCACGCGTACTGTGAGAACCCAGACATTGTATTGTGTGGAAATAAGGCGGATCTAGAGGACCGTAGAGCGGTGTCTGAAGAGCGGGCCCGAGAAACTGCTGAAAAATTTGGGTAATTGACTCTTGTTACCCTTTCACCCCTATGTAATTTTAGTGAACTCTTCCATGCATTGATCTGGATGAGTCCATTAGGGTCTACAGCGGTGAAAGGGTTAATAATAAAACAAAAATATGTTGAAAAAAACTTGAGTGTCCATAAATATGTTTCATTTTGAAATTGAGGCATTTGACAAAGATGAAAGTTAAAATAGCACCATCATGAAAACTGATTGGAGAAATGTAGAACTGATGTTTGTCTAATTACTTTTTTACATGCAGGTTCTTGCTTGTTACGCAATTTCAATTTCAAAGATAATATATTCCATAAAATTTTAAAATAAGATATTCCAATAAATTATAACTCAAAATAAAATATTCTAATAAAGTATAACTCAAATCAAAATACATTTTGTATTCCATAATTTGAAATAAAGTATGACATAATTTCACTTCGAATATTCCTCTTATCCAAAACAAAACAACAAAATTTTGAGAATATTAAGATACTATGATATGTTAACACAAATTGTTGACCCTCCCCGCAGACTCCCGTACTTCGAGACGAGTGCTGCGACTGGCCAAAACGTTGCCAAGGCGATGGAGTGCCTGCTAGACATGGTCATGATTCGTATGGAACAGTGCATTGACAAGTCACAACTTCCGGGAGCTCGTAACGGTCACGGACGTCACGGAAAATACGAAATGGATGAGGCGGGTGAAGGAGGAGGCTGCGGATGCTGATCTCCGTGTGAAATTAGCAGTAATTAATTTTAGGTTGTAATGAATTAACGTTAAACCTCAGTAATTAATTTTAGGTTGTAATGAATTAACGTTAAACCTCATTAGTCAGTACAGTCTTTAAAAAGACTTGTTGCCATCACTTTGACTCTGGAATTTTTTTCACACACTTTTTTTTGGAAACTAAAAGTGTTATATACTGATTTTATAAAAGGTTTTAATTACCCTTTCACCACGTACTGTAGACCATAATGGACTCATCCAGATCAATGTATGGTAGAGTCTACTAAAGTTACATAGGGGTGAAAGGGTGAACGATATAAGATTGAAGTATGATAGTCTTCCTAAAATGTCACTTTCCTTCTGTCTGATAGTCTGTAAGTTGATCGCGTTACCTATTGATATAACTAGTTGAAGGTTGTAACAAAGTGAAGTGGAGGTATTAAGGCAGTTTCCATCAGCCTTATTAGTCTAAAAGGTTTTTTCAATTATTTTTGGGGAGAAACCAAAGTTTTAAAACTATTAAAAAGGTTCTGGTGACTTCATTAATTCAAGGGTCGCAGGTCGGTGTTTTTTCTCCGGGAACTCCGGCTTTCCTCCACCACCAAACCCTTATACGTCCTTAAATGACCAGAGCTGTTAATAGGACATTAAACAGTAACAAACCAAGTCATTAATTCAACTTTAAAAAAAAAAGTGACAATTGAATCTTTTCATTTGGTGCATGCTTCATGTTCCTTACAAAACAAAAAGAAAGATATTGGTTGGTTGCAAAGGCCCTATAGCCACGAATAATAATTTGTGAACCGCTTTGAGACAACCTACAAACTAGGTTGTGATAAAGCAGTAACTCGAATTATTATTATTATCATTTTAGACTAACCAGGTTTTTTACTAGTACACAAAAATTGATTGTATGAGAAAAATTCCTTGAATATTCCTGACATTTTTTTTCTTTTCATAAACCCTTTGGAACCTGTGATAAGGTTCCCAACTCAATTATTGTAAACAGAAAAATTTGTATTTCATTATTTTATGTCATTGATCAATTTAATGTTTTAAAGAAGCAGTTCCTCTCCATAATCATAATCCAGAATTGTGTTGGATCTTGGGAAAAGTGAGTTTGATTATTCTTGTGAAATCAAGACAAAAATGTAAAAATCTGGAAAAATTGAAAAGTTAATTTTGCCAATAAGGAACAGTTTGCAATTTTGGAAATTTTTCAAAACTCTATTTTGCAACTATTTCCAGATGTCATTACTTCAGAAAACTTACCATATGTGAATATTTCAGTCATTGTTCCAATGGCTACTATTTGTACAGATTTTTCTGTGTCGCAATATTTCAGACATTTTTTGTAAACATTATTTTTTCCGGAATCTGATGAAACTCTTTCTGACAAGTTGTACCTACTTGATATTCGAGGAGTTGCACTCTGTTACAGTTTTTGCATCCCTGGAATATGTCATGACAATATCTAGGCACGTGGTTAGCTATTTGATTAATTATTTTCACGTGGAAAAAACTGACCAATCGCTAGGCTGACTACAAAGGTGCGACACCTGACGTCAATGTTGTGGAGTTCTTTTGATTGACATCAAAGGATCAAACTGGTCTATTTATAGAATTCACAAGGTGGCACCTACAGAACCTTCAGTTACGTTGTGACATCCTGAGGTGTAGAAAATATAAGAAAGCATCTCATTTAAGGAGGCATGGTAGTCTAGTGGTAGGACGCCAGGCTTGTGACCGAAGTGTTGCGGGTTCGAGTCACGGCACGGCACGGCACTGTGATGTATCTTTGAGCAAGATACTTTACCCCGCTTGTTCCAGTCTACTCAGCTGTAAATAAGTATGTGGTTGGGTAGTGCTAGAATTGTTGAACGCTAGCGGCTGGTAGCACCGAAATGGCAGCACCGGCTGTATACTCCTCAGGCAGTTGAGAAAGGTACTGGCTGGTTGCAAATGCCCTATAACCACGGATACTAATTTGTGAACTGCTTTGAGACGACCTACGACCTAGGTTGTGATAAAGTGGTATAAAAGAAATTTGAATATTAGTATTATTATTATTAAAGTGTAACCACTGGCATTTTGAGGATGACTGTCAATATGTTATTATTCAAAAATATATTATATTATGCTTTTCGATATTGCATGTTTTACTGCATTTCTGATATCTAAATGAATTGGCAATAAAATTCAAAGTGTTCATTTACAATGGGGTTTAATTTAAAGATATATATTTTTCTGTGAGTGTAAGACCTCGACTGACGGCTGACCAATGAGAGGTGTCTGTGGCTTGTTTTGAATGAATTTATGTAAACTTTGACTTTATAAAAAGCTGTGTGATGAAACTGATAAATAAAAAGGTTGTGAAATAATGAAGAGGAAATTAGATATAGGATGTTGTTTGTTAAGTTTCCGTATTAAAGCTGAGACAGTTTTTCAGTGAATGTGGATTTTGTGTGCAAAGTTAAGAAATGAATACAATAAAACTTGCCTCTGTCGAACTCAGATGTGTGGAATACAATCAAATTCAAACTAAATATTTCACGGAACTATTTCATCATTCACTGTACTAAGTAGAATCTAACAAAGCTACACCAGGGGAAGTAATCCATGCTATCAGAAAAACCCAGTTAGCACAAAAGCATGGATATCTAATAATTTGTATGATGTGGCCGTGTTCAACTTTATTGTATACTGTAAATTCACTATTATAAGTGGGTCATAATTTTCTTGGTTTCTGTAAATAGCAATATCTTTGAGTTTTGAGTTCCAACAAAATATTATTCATTTCCTTATCAATGTTACTTTTTGGCGGTATGGCAAGTCCATGAATTCAAGATGCCACAAAGTTGTCAATTTCCATCAATCCATTAAATTCTATACCCACATACATATTTGAATCTTACTATAGCTTGTTTCAATAAAATTGTTGGATTGATTTCTTATTAGCTTGTTTCAGAAATGCTTATGAACTAATTTCTAAAGCTTGTTTTAAAGATGTTTATGAACTGATTTCTATAGCATGAATCAGAAATGTTTATTAACTGATTTCTATAGCTTGTTTCAGAAATGTTGATGAACTGATTTCACTAGTTTGTCCTGTGGTGATCATGACGTTGTTTAAATATTTCACTTTGCTGAGCGATTATAAGTTGTATGTTGTGTGCAGTGAATGATCAGGAATGGGTTTGGAATCTTGAAACACTGCCAGAATTAAAAAACACAAACTTTCTCATGTCTATATATATTGAAAGGCATTTTCCCAATAAGATTGACCAGTACTCCTTTTCTTCCAAGTTTAATTATTAAAGAACTTCAAAAAGCTATAATATTTCTCAAAACAAAAGAAAGGTAGGGAAAAGTAGAAGAAGATACTTTAATGTATTTCTTTTTTCTATCGTAAAGCAGATGGCGATTCCCAAATTATTCCCAGAGAGTGACACAATTTGTAGTCTTGTTCTTCCAAAAGGTTTTCCCTAATGATGAAATTGAAGATCTATATCCTTAAGACTCTCAAAAGATCTGAAATCTTCAAAGCTGTAAGCAGTAGATATCTTCCTGTATGGCTGTGGATGTTTTTGTAAAAGATCAGCTTTCATAGCCTACAATTCTGCTAAATATTTTGACCTCGTAAAACAGACCAAATGTGCAGGGGAAGAAAAGCACACTGGCAGTGTTAAAATAGTAAATAATGATCTCCTATAATCCATACCTGATAGATATTACAAATTCTTCAAATTTATATGAAATATACTAATGCGTTAAGCACGTTTTGGAGAAACGACATTAATATATATATATATATTTGTATATTCCCTAACTAAATGTTCTTGGATAATATTGTAAATATTGAAATAATTTCAGAAAAAAAATGGTTTTCTATCTCTCTATATATATATAAGTGATAGGTTTCTATGGAATATAATATTTAAATTTGTATTAAATGCTTGTTATATATTCTCTCTAATTCTTGGAGAACAATTATTTTCCTTTTTCTATTAACCCATTCACCCCAGAAATTTCATAATGAACTATTCCAAACTTTGAATTGGAAGGGTTCAAATGTGTCTTCGGGGGGGGAACTTGAAGCCTTATCATCATTGATTGATTCAGGTTGCACTCTCTTATGTGTATGTTTCTGATCAAACGTTAATTCTTTTCATAGCTATATTTATGATAAATAATTCTGTATACAAAATTGTTGACAAAATTTACTTGTTACATTTGTTGAGATATTTGTTTGTTTTGTTTGACTTAGTTGTCTCCCCTGCTCTATATTAAAACCAGTTGTCTCCCCTGCTCTATAGTAAAACCAGTTGTCTCCCCTGCTCTATAGTAAAACAGGTATCTGTAAATTGCGGATTAATGGATTTTTGCTTTTTGAGTAATAATCATCATGATTTTCTTGTTTTGAAATGAAAACGGTTAAATAGTGTATAACCACAGAAAATAATCTGTGAACCGCTTTGAGACGACCTGGCACTAGGTTGTGATAAAGCGGTATATAAGAACCTCCAATTATTATTATTATGAATGTATGATTGTGTATCAGAACAATCTCAGTACATTTAAAATTCTCACCTAGATTGGTTGTGAGCTGTACAACGGTCATTTACATTTTCATTGTTTTGATGAAAGACAAGACAAGTCCTTTTTAACTAAAGGTAAATATAACCAAAGGCACAAGGTTGACTATTGTCACAACCTTAACTTGTGAGTTAGCACGTACGTAAACAGCCAATTCATGTTGTTGAGTCAATTGATTGATTATAATTAATGAAACTGCATGATAATTATTTGATTGTAATTAAACTGCATGTTAAAATTGATGCAATGAGATTTTATACTGGAACTAATCCATTATAAAATTATACACCAGTATTTTTTAGGAAAACTTTTAATGACAAATTTCTATGTTTTGTGAACCTTTCCCTGTCATACATTTAGGCCTAAAAGTGGAATATGTTCGAAATTTACGAATGTTGTAGAATAATCTTCTGTAAAGGCGTGTATACTCCAAGAATATTTGGTTTCATCAAGATTTTAGAATGATGATCAAGTTTCAAGAATTGATGATGCAAACTCAGTTGTTCGTACATGTGAATTAATATTTCTAACATCAGCAAAGTAAGACTTTTTTACACAAATTATAGGAGAATGTTGCTTTAACTACGCAGCAGTATACCGTTATTTATATTTCATGAAAAAAATACCATATATCTATAGGACTATCCCTTTATTTCTGGTTTCTGTAAATACCTTTTATTNCCCCCCACCCCAATTGGGGTGGGGGGATTTAACAAATGGTCTGTACTAGGGTTACATCACCTTTTACTTTTTAGTCTGTCGAAATTAGTTTGATTTTCTAGATGTTTTTTTGTTTCAATTTGTTAATGACAAATTAGTTTTTGAAATCTATATAACTTGTTATTTATCTACATCATGTGACTATTTCCTACATCATGTGACTATTTCCTACATCATGTGATTATTTTCTGCATCATGTGATTATTTTCTACATCATGTGATTATTTTCTACAATCAAATTATGAAATCCAGTAATTTCTGTCTATTTCATGTGACTTTTTCCTACATCATGTGATTATTTTCTACATCATGTGATTATTTCTACAATCAAATTATGAAATCCAGTTATTTCTGTCTATGTCATGTGACTATTTCCTAAATCAGGTGACTATTTTCTACATCATGTGATTATTTTCTACAATCAAATTATGAAATCCCGTAATTTCTGTCTATGTCATGTGACTATTTCCTAAATCATGTGATTA